AATTGAGTCCCTGATGAAAGAATAATATATAATTTGACAGTTATTGCTGGACTGTCTTTCTTGAGAGTTAAACCATTTACTTTCCCAGTGGTAGTATCTATGAGTGTCACCTATTTTAAATGTAATAGCCTAGTTGCCTTCAGGCATCCCAGTTCCTGTGACATAGGACCCTGTTCTGTGCTGCCTTTTGCTTGCTTTTCTCTGCAGAAAGAATCCCAAGCACATCCTGCGGAGCACCATGGGACTGGACTAGAGAGCTTCTGTGGGTGGCTTTCTAGTGTGCTTCCCAGGCTGCTCATCTCCAGGAAACCTCATTGTTGATGTCTTGTCTGCATTATGTACTTTCTGCAGGAGGAAGGCTCAACAAGGACCTGCGACATTTTCTCAGTCAACGGTTCCAGAAAGGGTCTCCAGATCATGAACTCCAGCAGACCATAAGGGACAACCTTTATCGCCATGCTGTGCCTTGTGAGTAACCAGGCTTGCATCCTGCTACTTTGTGTGTGTAAAGTGTTGGGGTCACGGAAGAGCTCAGCATCTGTCTTTGGATTATTCGACTTGTCTACTTGATGATGCCAGAAGTCTTGCAAATTGCAGTTGGCAGTGGACAAACAGAGCCATGTCATGGTGTGCTACATTTTAGTATGGCTCTTCCACTTGTGAATTTGCAGTAGGCAGATGACTCTTTATAAGCTGTGTTTCAACTTAGCAGGGATGGTGTACAGTATTCCTGGCCTCTTGGAACTCTTATGGGCAGGGCACAGGATGAGGCACCTGTGGTATTTGTGAGGGCCTGGCCAGGTTGGCAAGGCTCCCATCAGTGTTGACATCACTACTGCTCATGGACTGCACCAGGCGAGAGACCCCTTGACTTCCCTGTGTAGAGGCAGTTGGTCCTCACTGGCTGTCTGTGAAGCACGTACCTCAAGGGCCTCTCCATGCTTCTCCTGCCTTCTGCCCAATTTGTAAATTCATGAATCAAGATTATTTGAAATATGGTTTCCTCAGACAGGACTCAATAGCTAAGACCAAATCCGAGAAAGCAAGATTCCTGATTACAGTGAGTTATCACTGTACTCTACCATACCATGTTCCCTGCAGGCCAATCACAGCATACAAATCTTGGAAGTAACGCGGGATGGTTTGATGAGGAAAGAACGATCCTGGTTTTTGTTCCTTTGGTTGGTTGGTTATGTGTTAGACAGGGCCTCACTGTGCAGTTTAGGCTGGGGTTGTCCTCATTCTGTAGCTGGACTGGCCTTGGATTCACCACAGTCTTCTTGCTTCAGCTTCTTAAATGCTAAGATTACAGCAGGTAAGTGCCTCCATGCCTGGCTTTGATCTTGGATTTATTACGTGGAATTTGTTATTTGAAGGTGGAGTTCTTTAACACCCATTATGCAGATGAGAAAATAGAACAAGCAGTAAGCGGAACGCAAGATCCTCTTGCCCGTTGTGAGCAAGGTCTGCAGTGCAGCTGGCTGGACGCAGTACCCAGCAACTGCAGGCTCACGATTGTTCTGCGTGCGGTTTTTTTCCCACTTACATTCCAGTTTGAGAGATGGGGTGAAGCAAGTGAACATACCATTTCTTGATGCTTCCGTGGTGTTACCATGGTTATATGTTGGCATGTTTTCCCGTTTGTTTTTTCCACTGACTTGTTGGACCTGACTCGGAGCTAGATGGCTTGATTTTAGGCTTGCCGCTCTGCAGAAATTGGGGCAAAAATTGCCTCAGTCTTTCAAAGTAGTATTTAAAAAATCATGTTTTCCCTTGGTTGCATAAAGTATTTAGTTTTGATAGTTGGTGTGAAACTATTAAATCGGGAACTTGGAAATGGTGGCTCCGTTGAAAGAGAACATGAATAATATTTCACTTTATACTTTCTTGTAAAATGGGAAGAAAATGCTTTGAGGTCAGTGTAGCGCGAGGAGACTTCGGGTTCTGTTACAGGCGTGGACCACTCTGGATGTCTGTTTGACCCTTTGGCAAAGGTGACTGGTGAGGCAGAGCTCGCAGCCAGTGTGGTGAGTGCAGGACAGGAAGCCCTGGCTCTGGAGAATGGGTCATCTTGCTAATGCTGTACCTGTGCTGCCAGGAGCCAAGTTGCCCGCAGCCCGAGCTTCTGGAACTCTTGCTGTAGCTGAAGTGTGTTTTGGGAAGGGGCAGCCTCCTGAGCTGGTGTCGCTGCTGGGGCGAAGCTTCTTGCCACTTTTGGAGGTTTGTGGGTCTTCTGAAATGAGGGTTTAGTAAAGCGCCTCTTTCCCCAGCTTGGCCAAGGTTCATCATCTGTCATATGAATCATGATGGGCTTCATCACTTGGAAATCAGTTGAATCTTTGTTACTTGACAAAGATAGTGCAGCTAACAGCAGTCTTGTTTTACAGATGAGAGAATGAAGCAGTGAAACTCTTAATGTCCTCAAATCTTACTACTTTTAACTACCACTTTGCTCTCTTCTCACCCCCTGCCATTTTTTTAACAGCTTTATTGAGATATAGTTCACATACTGTATAATTCACCATCTTAACATGTATATACAGAGCTGGTTTTGTTTGTTATTATTATTCTTCACTTTGCTTTTTTCTCCTTTATTCAAGAACTCTTTTTTCCACATTGAAAAAAAATTCATCTTAGAAGGAATTTAATTACGTTTATTGCAGAAAATAACTGCCAAAAAATGATAAGAGAAAAAATAACAGATGTAGAATGAGTCAAAAGTCCCGGTATGGAATCTAGAATGTTCTGCTAGCTCTGTGGCCTGGGGAAAGTCACAGCCTCCCTGCATATGATGCAACCATCATGCATACGATGGATGATGACACTTGGCCAAGCTGGGGAAAGAGGCGCTTTACTATACCTCTCTGGGTCTGATTGACTCCTCAGGAAAGAGGAAAATGTAGTACTAGCTCAACTGCTATCTCCCTTGGTTACACACGCCCATTTTAGGGGATCTCATCAGAGGAGACAGCCTTCGAGGGTGAGGAGCTTAGCAAGGAGCCCTGTCGGGGTTAAAGTTGGTCTCTCTTAACTCCCACACTAGACATAATTAATAATCAGAGTGTTGTAAAAAGAGGCCCTTGATAGTGAAGATAAAAAGAATTTCTTACTTTGATTGCTGAGTTTATGGTCTTAGCAATACAAAATGATAACATTTTATGTCTTGAATATGGGAATGATGTAAGGTATACCTTAAAGATTCGTATCATGTCTATAATTTTCAAGTAATTCACTGATATGCATTGTAGAATGTTAATTCTAATGATTATTCAAATTCCTAATGTTATTATCTAATTTTGTAGTTTTTTGTAATTTTTGTATATTTTACATTTATGTCACTTCCCATATTGATACCCCTATGAAAAATCACCTTTAAGTTAAGTGTGATGGCACATACCTATAATCCCAGCACTCAGGAAGCTGAGACAGGAGGATTGCTGCAAGTTTGAAGTCAGCCTGGACTACACAGCTCACTTCTGTTCTTCAGAATCATCCAGTTAGCGTTTGTGCGTCCCTCACCTTAATCCCATTCATGTTGCCGACCCCTTTCCCCCACTGCTGCAGCCATGTGGACTTTTTCTACCCTTAGCACATTGAGCCGCCCGAGGCTGGGTATCCCCTCCCTCTGCTTCCCCCTTTCTGCAGGACCACTCCTCAGTCTTCTCTTCAAGTACAGCCTTCCCTGCTAGGGTGGGCCCGCTACCCTCCCTGCTGCTTGTCTGCTTGTCCTGTGAGGGTCTCGGTTGGTGAATCAGGTGCTGTATCTGCCTTAGTGACCAGTCCACAACTAGCCTGGTCCCTGGACTGATGGCTAATATTTGCTAAATGAATAAACAAATGAAAAAAGTTGTTAAATATTGTTTTTCTTGGTCACTTAGCCCTTGAGAGAAACTTCCGTGCATTAAATGTCAGAAGAAAAGGCAACTTAGTGGCTCGCATTGGGACAGCCAATAGGTGGCTGGTGAGGACTTTACTGACTGCTGGCAGGCACGCCGGGGGCCCAGAGGAGGCTGTGCAGGCCCTGGGTAGGAGGAGCAGGCATCCCATGCCCACAGCCTCCTAATTACAGTCTGCATCACTGTGCCTCCTGCACTGATAGCCTCTGGTTGTTTGACTGCTTGTCCTAGTCGGTGTGACAACATTTTAGACTGTTGCTTTGGAATGGCCAGCTTTCCCTTGAAGATAAATGCACTACCTGGCGGGACTTGTCACGTGCCGTGTGGCTGCTGTCCAGAGGCAGATCCCTCTTCCACAGCACTGGGTTGCTGGGAGCTTAGCACTGCTCTGCCTGTCCTTCCACTTCTCTGGGCTCTGCTCTCAGGAGCTCACCATTCAGTCCGAGCCAAGACCCCTGAAAGAGGAGAGGAAATCTGAGCTGTCCGTGGTTGAATGCTCTGTTGACCAGGGCTGTCCCTGACACTGAGACCATCGTGGCCTGTTTAAGAGTATCCACCACTGACTTGAAGGAATTTACAAAGGCGTTAAGCATGTTTGATCTATAAGACTGCTGAAATTTGACATGGTGAACATAGATGACCCTGGTCTTTATTTATAGAGGTGCCATATTCACACTGCTGAGCATTTGTCTGCTAACATTCAGCATTGCTCATTATTCTGAGTGCGGTTGTGCATCACTTCTGGGATCTTTTGTACCTGCTATTTTCTCTTAAGCACAGTGTTGTACAGTGCCTGCCTGAAATGGGCCTACTCTACATGGTATGCATAAGTGGAGCTGGCAACATGCATGGGCAAGAGTCCAAGATAAAGAACCCGTTGTGGAAAATATTTTATCTCCTGAAATGTCCATTTCTGTGCTCAGGTTGTGTTTATCACTGAGAATTACTTCTGCTTGTACTTCATAAACTAGAATTCTGTAAGCATGTGTTCAGACTGATCAGATAAAGGACATTCATAACGTTTTCAGTCATTGTCTTCTCAGAAAAGTAAGTAGTGTCAAAAATTACAAGGATCACGTTCCCTTTGCAAAGCCTGTGACTAAGAATAGTAATAGTTCTTCATTGGGGGGACTCCTGCTGCAGACCAGGTACTCAGCCATGATGTATCTGCATCTCTGTCGGGATCGGTTATGTCACCTCTACTACTAGCCTTACCTGCAGTACATAGACACCCAAGGATCCGGGCTCCAGTCCATTTCCCTCTCGCGTCCTCTCTCTTTTCTGTTCAATCACAGATGCTTAATGCCTCTGATACACTAAAAATGTCTCTCTCTCAGTTCTCACCTCTTTCTTTCCCTTTCCCTGTGGTCTGGACTCAGTGGTCCACTAGTATGCCTGCGTTTTCCCTTTTTCTCTATCAAACTTGCCCGCTTTGCTGTGGCTTCCCATTGACCATTGTTATGGTTTATGTCTAGTTGTCCCCTCCAAAGCCTCATGTAAGTTATGGGGCAGACGCGGTGGGAGGAGCAACGAGTGGCTTGAGGGGCGGGGCCAGAGACTAGGGCGGGCCTG